GTGTGTGTGTGTGTGTGTGTGTGTTGTGTGTGTGTGTGTGTGTGTGTGTGTGTGTGTGTGTGTGTGTGTGTATAACATATATATATACACATATATATATATATATATATATATATATATATATATATATATATATATATATATATATAATTTATGTATTTATTTATTCATGTGTATTTGTGCGTGTGTGTGTACACTGCGCAGAATGCATACACATGTATATGTAGGTAGATAAGTTGGGAGATAGATAGATTTGTATGACTATATACATATATCCACCGATGCATACATAAGTAGATAAATAGCTGCTGTAACCCTCCCTCTCGTCAGTGTTCCACGTGTGCAAAGAGCAACCTTATGAATAAATGCAGATGACAAGTGCTCATTGGTCAAGCTTTTATTGATTACTGCTTTCGGTGCTTTATATACCAATCGATAAAATTTTCCACGGTATTGTCAATCGTGACAGCTATATTTTTATTGGAATTTCCTTGCTGTCTTTATGGTGAAGTATCAATAAAATCATTTTAAACGGAAGTGGCCGGCCGTGAGCTGAAAAGTTCCGAGGGTCGAAATTTGTCTAATGGTAATGACAGCTGTGCCAAGCGCCAGGTGTCAGGATGCACCAATAAAATTACAGCCCGTGTCCTACGGTATGTGAGGTGGATTACCATATTAGAAATAAGAATATTTATTTATAGATAAATTCGCGCTTCTATCTCGCAGAAAATATAGAAGATCTTTTATGAATGTTGTCAGTGTATCAAGCATTTACCAGTAGCAGATGTTGTTGATGGTGGCGTAGGGTGGCAGCTGGCGGCACCGTCTCCCATTTTACTCTTTAGACACTTGCGAGGTACACGTCACTGGTCACTACGTGGAGTCAAGTCAAAGGGCAGCGGGAAGAGGGGAGGAAGAGGACAGCAGAGAGCAGAGGAGCTGAAAGCAGACGGAAAGGAGGTGAGTGCGGGAGAGGACGGGGTAAACGAACTCTGGGACTTGTATAGCATTTCTTATGGGAAGTTATTTGTGTTATTGTTCGGGATTTAGGTTGCATCAGCCCCTGGGGTTCGTATAAGGCAGGGAGTTCCTTTGGTAGTCTTGTCAGGCTTAGAATTTTAGTTTAGGTGGGAGGAAGCTTAGGATTAATTACATACAACTAAGATATGTTTTTTTTTATAGGCCTACATTTATACAGTCTTTTCATGTTATGGTAGGCCTATATTTCACACCTATGGATCCATTCTTTTGATAAAAGAACAAACCATCATTTAGGTTCTAATGCTGCATTTGGAACTGCTTGTCTTGTTTGTCCAGACAACTTATCAGTGCCAGTGGGAGAACGAAGCTGTCTTTGGAACCCTCCGAGGCTTTCATTGCTTACAATGCAACCAACTCAAAAATAAACATTCACTATTTTATCATACTGGTGTCTTAATTTACACACTGCATAGGTTTTGGAATTCATTAGATGCACAGGTAAGTTACCTTTAACTAAAAGACACAAAAATACCCTTTGATAACAACAATATAGGGCCATAAAATTACCTACCAATATTGTATGGTTGCCAGCTACTCTTTATTTACATACAAATGCTACTGCGATGTCATTTCGGCCTCCTCACCCAGCTGTAAAGGAGAGTGAGATGGATGAGATGGACGAGAGAGACAACTTGTCCTGGACGCTAACATGGATTTTTCAAACTGTTAGAACATCTTGTCCAATTTGTCCAGCTTAATGGACAGGGAGTTTTGAAAGCAGCATAATTTGACAGAGTATATAGACCTGCCAATTGTTGTGAAAAAACGAACTAGTCCAAGTTCTTTCTTACCAGAAGTGGTAGAGGTTTGTTATCCTCTCCCAGAACACAGAAGACACAAGGGAAGCTGGCTAGATGCTGTTGGGCAGTGGGGTTGAACTTAATTTTTTTGTGAATTTCAAGGGGTATGAGATGGAACATGACCAATATGATTGAGGAAGTATTCCAGTGGTAAAGGCTCTTTTGGGTGTCACATATTACTTGAAATTAACTAAAATTGCAGAATGTATAACTGAATATATGTTTGTATATTTATTTATTAACTCATTTTTATATTTGTTTGTGTTCTTATTAATTCACTCATATGTGTATTTATTTTGATTTAAGAAAAATAAAATGAGGAAAATATCCTATGATGACATGACACTGCATTCTAGACCTTATTATCACTATCTAGGGATTTTTCTTGACCCCCATGTTTTGTCTATCATCTATCTATCAATCTATCTATCTATCCATCTGTCTATCTATCTACCTATCTATCTATCTATTTATTTATCTATTTGTCTATCTATCTAACCATCTCTTATCTAATTATTTATCTATTTGTCTATATATGTATCTGTGCATCAGTCCCAGTGTCTGTGTGGGTCTTTTGATCTAGTATATATTTACATATTTATTATATGATATATACCTGAAGTTGGAAAATGATGCCCTTTTACCTCTTTTCCAGATAAGGCATAAAAATGAATCATTGGAGCTTAGCCCTGGGGTTGGTATTGGGCGTGCTGGCGCTAAGAGAAGCCACTGCTCACACGCACCACCTGCACAATGCCCAGAAAGAGCGAGAGGCAGATGGTACCAGGACCCCAAGAGACCACGGCCATTATAGCAATGGGGAACACAATGCTGATTTCGACCATGAAGCAATTCTAGGTGTGTAGTGGCATTTTCTTTAATAAAAATAATATTCTTATTAACTGCATGATTCTCAATGGCATGATGATGACAGTGATGAATATGATGATGGGTGAATTAAAGTGAGCTATGCGATGATGTATATACATGCTATGGCCACTGTGGGATTAGTTTATTGATTGTCTTTACACTTAGGTGGCTCTTCCTGTTTACTCTTTCCCTTGATTTTCGCATATATTTTCTTTGATCTTTTATTGCTGGTAGCAATGTGAATAAAGTTATAATGATGTTTATAATAGTAGAACCAGCATTGATGTTGGATGCATTAGTCTATTAAAAAATGTTTTTCCCTGAAAACTAAAGGAAGGTGAAAGTGGATGGTTATGATGAATAAAAAAATTAATATTAATGTTAATATTATCATTACTGTCATTTATATCATTTTGATATCTTGAATAGTTTTATTCATGGGACTTTAGCAGAAGAGCATGATGATTTTCTTATTTATGATTTATAGTTGTTTCTTAAGAACATAGCATCAAATGACAAAAAATGTATAATTTAGTCTGAAAAATACAGAAACCTGTCCTACTTCCAGATCTATTCCAATTGTTATTTACAAAATTTTACCCATTTTTATGCATTCTATATCCTTTTTATGTTTGGTGCAATATGCTGTAGGGGTCTCATTTTTATTAGCATAAAGTTTGAATGAAAGCTATTCCAGTATAGAAATCAAGCAACGCTGTCAGTCTTGTTCTGTGGAGAATAGTCCCTCTTTTGTATGTTATTTAGCTTGGAAGTTCAGAACAAATATCTTGTGAATTCACAGGCAGCGTCAAGGATGCAGAGGAATACGATCAACTCCCAGCTATGGAGGCGAAAAGACGGCTGGAGATCCTTCTTGTGAAAATGGACCGCGATAATGACAAACATATTGATCGTAAGGAACTCCATTCTTGGATTCTTCGCTCTTTCAGGTAAGAGATCGTTCTCTAAGGAAAAGACTGAAGAGTCACTTTCTCCAGAAGAAATATATGAGAAAAGTCTTTGTCTCCCCATCTCTTAAGGATTATTGTATGAACATTGATGTGAACTTTTTCAGAATGCTGTCAGAGGAAGAGAGTTCCGAGCGCATGGATGAGGTGGATGAAGATGAAGATGGATACGTCACCTGGGCTGAGTACATCGCCGAAACCTATGGCATCAAGGACCCAGAGGACCAGCAGCTCCTAGACCAGGAGGATCAAGTTGAAGAACAGAGGGTAAGATTGGAGAAAGATCGGGATGTGAGAAGGATGTGGGAGGTAATAGGGTAAGGACTAGGAGGATGAGGGATGTTGTGGAAAATGATTGGGGCAAGGTCAGGGGAAGAGAAATAAGATCTGGAAAGAGATGGACAAGGGTAAGGGGATAATAAAGTGATGGGATAGAGCATAATAGAGAAGATGAGAAAGTATTTGATTGAGTGAAGAAAATGATAGCAAGGAAGCAAAGAATGATATGTTGCTTTACATCAAGAAGGAGTAATAGGAAAAATGGCCAGTGGCAGCATTAGGTTTTGTTAAGGATACTGGCAGAGCCAATGGTGTCATTTCTCTTTTGGATCAGAAAGTTTGTTTCAAGAGAGAGAAAAAAATGTGAGTTAGTTTCTGTGAACCATCATAGAAAGTTCAGTGGAAATGGTACCAAGATAGATATTATACTGTGCAAGAGTTTACCTCAACAATGTTGTCATTAAAGGCTTCTTTTGTGTGACTTGAGTGAAAAAACAAGATGTAGGATTGTCATCAAACTTTCATTTTTGCAATAATTGGGAAAATTGAAAAAGGAAACACTAAATCATGCCTGACCATGCAGTTGAAAATTGTTTTAGAGTAACAAATTGGAATGCAAGGAAACAATTATGGAGGAATATAATTTGCAAGCTGTTTTTAGCTAAATGGTTGTCTTAGATTTTGTAGTACTGCTTTTTTCCAATTTGACATATGTTGTAACTAACTGCATAACAGTTATTGTATGGAGAGCTTAGGGCCCCTTTTTGTCACTTAGCTCTGTCCTCTAGTTGCAATATCATGGTCAAGAAATATACTAACAATGACTCAAAATTGCTTTATGTTTGCTTATGAAAGATATTAAAGTGTGTAGTATCATAATCTTGATATGTCAGAGTTAGTGCAGAGTTAGTTAAATATATGTTATCAGAGGGTATGTTAAGGTGTAGATATTCAAATTAATGTGATAACTCTGAAGTGTATCAACATTGTGAATTATTGATTAAGTTTTTGGTTATAGTCTATAAATTAATAGGGTAATTAT